CACACACACACACACACACACACACACACACACACACACACACACACACACACACACACACACACACACACACACACACACACACACACACACACACACACACACACACTAACCCCCTCCTCCCCTCTCATGTCATGCAGACTTAAATCAGGACGTTGACCTCAGGTGTCAGTGTTTCTGATGCCAGCTCAGTGACTGTGTGTTTCTGCATGCATAAATACACAGTGTGTGTTTGTGTGTGTGTTAGCAGTAGAGCATGCCAGCAGCGAGCCACGTTACCCACAATCCTCTGGGATCTCTGGCTCTACCCTGAGTCCATCTGTGCTGTGTGACCGCTCACCAACACTAACCTCACCTTCACTTCTCTAAAAGCTGGAATTGAACTCGAACATCACACAGTTAATGAATGTCTTCTTAGAGAGTGAGAACCTCAGACCTCTTATGAGCACATGAATGCACCACAGGCTTCATTTACACACAGCACAGTGAGATGAATGGATTCATTTTTACACAGTGGATTCAACTGAGTGTTTTATTTTGACTCAGGGACGATATGGTTGTTATTCTTTCCAATATTAATCACGGTTTATTTGCTTGGCACATTATTACATTCATATAATGATATAATATTATAGATTGATAATGAGAACAAATTAATTAAAATGTTAATATATTTGAATAAATTACATTCTATTTTTTATTCTATTTTATGAATTCAATTTTACCTTTGTCATTTTTGTCATGTATATGTTCTTCACAGAAAATGAGCCAAGGCCATTGAGTGTGGGTTTGAAAAAAGAATGTATCATATCATTTTTCTTTAGCTAAATAATGAAAACGGGTCCCACAGACCCGAATACCATACAAGGGTTCAACTCTGGGGCTAAAAACAAGGGTCTGCAATGTTTTACAGCTGAAGGACCCCCTACTAAATATGCATGAATAACATGTAAATGGTTATTTAACTGTGTCTATAATAAATGTTGTGTTGCACAAACTCAGAACTGTATCTGATGTTTGAGCACATGTGAAAAGAACAGCGTACATGTGACTTGTGCTGTTAACACTGAAGAACACCCAGATCTGATTGAAATATGCAATATATCCGGACAGTTTATACTCATCAGCTGCACACAAAGTCGGTATAACTGTATTCCAAAAAAAGAAATGTTTCCGGATGTTTCATACCTTTTAATTTTGAGCGAACTTTATTGGCTGTCTTCTTGATGTCAGCTGTGAGGTCCTCCAGCTCCTGCTTGGTCTCTGCAAACACAAGATAAAATATTTAAATAATTATCCTTTCACAATAAAAGTCCCCTTATAGTAATAAACGTTCTCTTATTGTTATGCAGTTTGTGCTGCATGTCTGCTTATATTATAATGATTGTTATGATCATAATATTATTAATGCATATCTTTTTTACAATAATATTATAATATTTATTAATGTTATATTTAAAATAATATATTATATATTTATATTATAATATTAAGTATAATGCAGTTATTATTTTTGAACTGTACCTTTAACAGTCCCTACCATTTTGATTTATTTATTTAGATTTTGATTTAGATCTACACTTGTGTAACTCTGTCTGTCTGAGACACCACTTTTTATAATAATGATTTTGGGAGAGAGAAAAGGTCACAAGAGAAGAAGAAGAAGAAGAAGAAGAAGAAGAAGGTAGTTGATGATGTGTGTGCAGAAACAGTAACATCACATCATGTCAGTCATGTTGGAGGAGGGGTGTGTGTGTGTGTGTGTGTGTGTGTGTGTGTGTGTGTGTGTGTGTGTGTGTGTGTGTGTGTGTGCGTGCGTGCGTGCGTGCGTGCGTGCCGTGCGTGTGTGTGCGTGTGTGTGTGTGCTGCAGCAGTCAGATTTACGAGCGCTGCAGTGCCTCT